TTATTTATTTAATTACAACCAAGGGTATACCAAATAACACTAACACAAAAGTCGACAAAAGGACCACCTCCCACCTCAATAATCTGCCTGATTCGACGTTGGCACTGAAATTTCTTTTATTCCAGGGTTACAACCAAACGGTCATGACGCCACTTGAGACCTTGGATGAACTAAATCGGGAAGAAGGTGACATCCGTGATGTTTGTGCTGAAGAAGACGACGATGAATCACCGCCGGCATATCCAAGCCTATTCTTTAAACTTGGGACAGTACTGCTTTCAGAATCACAAGTGAACGATACCACTGGCAACATCATAAAAAACGACATGTACCTTTAAATAATTGAAAACTTCATGTAAATATGAAAAATACAAAAGAAGCTCCTAAAGAAAGCAAATTATCGGGAAAACTGGCAAAAGACTTTCATGTCTCAGATCTCAATACTATAATGCTCGAACAATTCAACCAATTGCTCCATACAACTTGCTTGACTGATCATGATATTTGTAATGCTTTCTACTTTACTATGTTGTAAATTCGGCTACCTCGCTTAACTGCTTTATTTTCTCGGCAAATGGACACTCTTGATGGCGCTCTGTTCAAAATTAATAGCACTGGAAGCACGAGTTCGATTTTAGGAGCTGACAACGTACTCCGATTCGGATTCCGATTTCCGCCTTCCAAGAGCTGTTGGGAAAGAGCCCTCAAGTAACAATGGCAACTCCTCATTCTCAGCCTTCCACCGACTCTTGAACTTGAGCGTCTCCATAGGCAAGCTCCCACGATGGCTAATGTTTTTCCTTACGATTTTACTGGGTTAGGAACTAGTAACAGAAGGCTTGTTAGGAACTCAGAGAACTGGTTGCCGATAAGATCACGTTGGGGTCGACTGGTGGGGAAAGGTGTTGCATACAACAGTAGGAGCATTCCGATATTTCATTTTAAAAACGTAATTTTGTATAGCTCCAAACCTATGTGGAACCTCGGCTGGAAGAAAATTGTGTTTAAAGGTGGGTCATTTTTCCCAGGATGCGGTGATTTATGAATCCACTTCTATATCGGTAATGAACGCAGCCTCCTCCCGAAAACCGGAAATCGGAACTTGGCCCCGGCGCTCATAGGAATGTTCATCGCCCATCTCTTGTTCACAGCTCCGAAATTACTTTCTTCGTGACAGTCTTCAATCAGCGGGTCTCAGCTAAGAGCTGAAACTACTTAGTAACTGAATGACTAGATTCGAACTGTTTTTTTTTACTAATAATTTCCCAGTAATTTAGGTCATCGTCTAGGTCATGCATGATAATTTCGGGTTTTGGTTCAATGATACGCCATGTGTATGTAATTTATCCACGCTTGTTGGCTTGATTGTTTACGCGTAGATGTTTACATTATGCTTGTATTAAATTGTGAATTGAACCTGGTACTGTTAAAGAAAGATGTTTTTTCGTAATTACATATGAAACTAATTCTTGAAGGATCAGAATGATCTTCAAAGACCCTCAAGTAGGCTGGATTACAGAATTCTCACGAATAAAGTTCATCAGTAGTCTAGAATGGCTTCAATCAGACAACTCGTCTCTATCGATTGCTTTTATCGGAGGAAATTGTCAACCACGAAGCAAACCTACAATTATCTACATGGTCTTGTCATTGTTAGGGTAGCATCGACACCTGTCATTACCTCCGGTTAGGCCTTGATTGGTAGAGAGACATAACTCCCGACCTTTCATGCCTCGAAGATGAAAGGCCTCTACACAATCAATCTAGGCCACCTGGCATCAGGATCTGGGAGACAGGCAGTCATATCGGTCAGGGTCACCGATTTCATCGCAATTCAGCATTTTCACTGATTCACTACGGCTATTTTTAGACAAAGTGATCAAAAACCCTGCTCATTGAGATTATCACCCACAGATGACGGGAAGGGAACAAGGTCATTTCCCAGAGCATAATTCGGATAAATAGCTTGGCTATGAGGAAAAACTAAATAGGAGCTGATAAATGGGATCAATTTTAGCTACAAAAAAATAGAACACAACTCCTACTGACAATTCCTACTCAACGTCAAAGAACAGGCATCTTCCCACCTTTGCTAGAGCCTGATTACCGGAAATTCCTTTGAAGAGGTCGAATTCGTCCAACCCACTACACCCGGACGATCTAGTTTTGAAGTGATGGCATGTCCTGACCCATACCATGGCTGGTTATATCGTGAATCGATCGTGGAGATAACGAGGTCACGTGGCGCAGTGTAGCGCCACGGCTACGATTTCTAGGGCTGGTTCAGTTCATTGGCTATTTGGTAACGAGGTGCAAAGGCCATAAAATTGACGTGGTTCAAAAATGATTATCCTTACTTCAAAGGCATTGCAGAAGAGCTCAAAGAAGATAACATTGTATGATCAAGGAAAGGAAAAAAGTTAAAAAATGAGGGCAAGAAAAGAATGTAAAGGATCCTCTGGAAGTTTAGGAGTCCATTTAAACTCCCGTGAAATAGTCAACATTGGTCCAGGGAACCCCAGAGTTGGCAGAAATGGGTGACAAATCAAAGAGTAGCATAGCGGTAAGTCGGTGGTTACCTTGTGGTTGCCATTTCTTGGAGCCAATTAACCTATGAAGTCACTCTCACTCGGTCGGAAAATCAAGGAGAAAGTGGATACAAGGATAACCTACATCTACATATATGCAGATGAATACATTCACATATACCATGAATATTTCACAGAACCCAGCTATATGGACGGCTATCAGGAGTGTAAGGCGCTGATGTGGGCCAGAGTGACAGGATCTCGACTCCCATTGTGTGGATGGTAAGCTGCCCTTCGAGATACACCTTCCGCTGATTCGATGCTCTGGTAAGAATATATACAGAACTCTGAAAAATAGAAGTTTTACCCACGAAAATTTGATAAAATTGAGTTGCAAATCGAAAATACCTTGTTACGTAGTCAGCCTCTCTGTGAGGAGGCACCTCGGCGCTGGTTTGTAGGAGTGGTTCTGAAAACCAGTTACCGTAAATAAATGCTAACTTCGACGATCTTCTGATAGAAAATAGTTAGAACAGCGTCAATTTCTATACTACTAGGCATTTATTTTCAGAGAAAGGTCAGTGTTGGTTTATTGCTGCATCATGATACTTACTGGAAAGTACACTTGAGTAAGGGAGATAAATTTTTAATAGAAAAGCTGCATGCTCCCATTTACGGTCCTATAAGTATTCTTCTAACAAAAACACATCCCAAGGGTGGATCTTTTTTTTTGAAAACATCACTTAACCTTTTAAACCAGGGATGTTTGCGACGACTGGTCGAGTGCAGTGCTGTAGGGCTGGGTGCAAAACAGCAACAAATTGCGGAAAAACTGGTCATACAGTTGAAGCGGGCAGTACTTATCGAGAATTATATAAATATAGGACCTTCTCTATCTACAGACCAAATTTGGTTGCTGTACTACCATCGACCCCTATAGAACAGGACCCTTTCTTGTCGCTATTCGTGTTATGCGGCGGCATTTCCAGCCTGATTTTTCTTTCACGCGGCGGTTGTCTGGAATCGGTTTCCATCAGAAAGAATACTCCACTTAAATAGCTACAATATAACATAGGAATGTTAGCTATAGATTTAGGAATTAGTTTGATTTTCAACGCCCAACGGTCCTCACTCGCATCTGACAAGTGCCGGCACCCAACTTATGGGTCAATTATAAGCATTTAG